AGCCTCTACTCGTACGGCACCCAATGTCCTTGCTTTTGAATCATTCCTGATATTTTTAAACGTTTCGAAACGTTGTGTGATCAACTCCTAATGATTCTGCAAGTTCAGCTAGCATCTGACATGAATCTTCATGAAGTAATACCTCCAATTCTTCGTTTTCAAACTTTTTCGATGCGCCAGAGCGTTCTTTATCTTCAACATCAAAATCATTATTTTTGAAACGTCTAAACCAATTTCTGCATGTTGTTTCCGACAGAGCATGGTCGCTGTAAGTCTCAATAAAAATTCTGTGTGCTTCAGCTGCAGATTTTTTTTTAATAAAGTAGTGCAGTAAAATTCCCTAGGAGCGTCTCGATTGACCACGGTACGATTGGACACAACCAACCGATGAAAAGAATTATGTAGTGAATTACTAGAATACTATGTCGAACCAATCATTACAATCTGTGTCCAATCGTATCGTGGTCAATCGGGTCCCACCCGACAAAGTTCCCCACTCAACTATCTCTTTCTGACCGCTCGAGAATAAAGACATGCACTAACTTGGTTTACATCGTACACTTGATACGTGTACTAAATAGTAACTTTCTATTAGATAATCTTAATATCGACAATGGGTACTTTTCGTTGCGTACACTGTGTTACACAAAACCAGCTTATTGGTTGTATATTATCTTACAAGATATTTTAGATAATATGTGACCAATAAACTGGTTTTGTGTACGTGTGTGTTAAGATGTATTAAGCAATTGGAAAGCATTGAATGCATATCAACCGTAATGCATTCAATCAATACAATATATTTTGTTAATGAGTATTATACTAGGTTAATATACCGTTGTTTATATATATTGTCGATATTAATAGCATGTTCGACTGGCTCTGGGTTAACCCACTCTGGGTTATTCAGCTTACGTTTATTGGTCGAACAAGTACTTATAAGCTTTATGATTGGCTAGTAGAGACTTATGACGTCATTAATCGCTCTCGGAGCGATTAACCCAGGGCCAGTCGAACACGCTATTAATATCGGGTGTATATCAGTTGGACACGGGGCAATTGGACACAATCCAATCACAAGTCGCTGTTCCAAGGGACCCTACAAATGTCTCTAATCACACGGTGCTGTGATTGGCTGTATCCAAATGCACCGTGTCCAAGTGCACCGCTCCCATTAATATCGACGATATACAGAGTATTCAAAAAGTGTAGAATCCCCTTCTGATCTCCAAAAGTACGCACTTTCAGAGAAAATGATCCGAATAAAAGTAAGTAGGGGTCATGAAGAACTATCTTTTTGTAACCTTAAACTTGACCTTGAGGGTCATTTGAAAGTTAACATTGAATTTTTTAATGGAAACCGCCTTTTTTGAAGCCCGGATTTGGAAAGGGCGGGAAATTTTACGTTTAAATACGTTTATATCAATGGTCAAAGTGATCCCTAGAGATATTTTGGAGATCAAATTAGTGACAGTCACAGAATATGCAGTGGGCAGCGGTATCGAGAAAAATGATCCGAATAAAAGTTATAGGGTCATGAAGGACTATCTTTGGTGATCTTGAACTTGACTTTGAACTTGATCTTGAGGTTGATTTAGGTACAGATTCAGTCAGCTAAGACAAGATCGGTCGCGGATCCGGCCAGTTAAGGCAAGGTCGGTTGCGGACCTGACCAGTTAAGGCAAGATCGGTCGCAGATCCTAGGAGTCATTTTGACCACTGATATGGAAACGTATCTGAACATAAAATTCCCCGCTCTTTTCAAATCCAGGGTCAAAAAGGGGGTTTCCATTAAAAAATTCAATATTGACCTTCAGATGATCCTCAAGGTCAAGTTTGAGGTTACAAAAAGATAATCCTTCATTATCTTTACATCTTTTATTCGGATTATTTTCTCTGAAAGTGCGTACTTTTGGAGATCAGAGGGGAGTCCCACACTTTTCGAATACCCTGTATATAAACAACAGTATTAAGTTAGTATAACATTCATCAACAAAACGTATTGTATTGAATGTGTCGCCGTTGATATGCATTGTCGATATTAAGATTATCTAATAAAAAGTTACTATTTAGTACGCGTATCAAGTGCACGATGTAAACCAAGCTATTATGGTTAGGGTGCCGTCCCATTGAGCACGGATCGGAACGCCGGATCGGATTTCTTACTATAATGAGCGTTCCGTTCTCTAGTTTTGTCCCGTAAAAGTTTCCTCTACCAGTCCCATGTAGCAAAAACGGAACGGATTT